CACCAGCTGCGTGTCGATTTCTATCTGTCTACCGCTACCATACATCCTACATACATATAGGAAGGACTTCTTTCATGCCCCACCCACTCCATTGCCACCAACAATGCACCACATACATACATACATACATATGCATATGTTGGCGAGGGTATGAGGGTGAAGTTCCATCAATCGCATCGAATTCAATGCGTTAACATTTACCTTCCAATGCCATTTTACCCAACACCCCATACGGATAGAAGTATAATTGGAGATGGCATACCAGATGGATTTTTAAATTATATAAAAATATAGATATTAATAAAACTTACCTGAAGCTTTAAAATTTTTAATATATTTTAATTTTTTTTAAATTTTATTATTAAGTTCGCGAGTTACATACATTATTGGTTAACGGGATTTTAAATAACACTCCACGCACTGAGAATGCCCGAGAAAAGCCTTGCCATGACGGAAAGAGAAAAAAAGAGAAGCAAAAAAGATCCTTTTGACTTTCTTATTCCTTTTTCGCATAGCATACTTTCCACGTTCATTCTATGATTGAACACTCTCACCAAAAAAAAAAAACAACAAAAAACATAACACTTTAAAGCTTGATACTTTTCTCTTTGGATTAACAAACTCACTAACTATTTAGTAAGAGATTATATTACAAACAAAACTGTACTTATTACACAAAACACACAAACAAACGGTAAACAAACTAACGGGGATAGCAAGGAAGCAAAGGATCCAAACCAACCGATCGCAGTGGCTTCACAAGAGCGAATGTCCGAGAGCGCAGGCTAACCTGAAAATATACAGAAAATTAGTACAAAAGAAAAAAATTGAGAAAGCAAAGGATTGGAGAAAATGTGATCGAGAGAGAGAGAGAGTGGGTGGTGGAGAGTGCAGGTGAAGCATTGGGGCAAGCAAGAGAGAGTAATGGGGGAGTCTTTTAAAGAGAGTGCAGGAAAAGGGATATCAAGCAGAAAGAGAGAGAGAGGTTAACCCGTACTTTGATCTTTTGAAAAGAGAGTAATTCTATGCTGTTTTCTTTTTAAATTTAAATTAAGATTTAAATTTAAGATTTAAATTTATTTTCTATGTTAAAAATTAAATATAATTATTTTAACTAAAGATTTTCGAAAAATGCCATCTCTAACCAATCATGGCAACCAATATCCCCCACACACATGTGGAATAACATGGTTGGGGCACACAAACATTCCATGGCACGCATATCCTTTTGCTCCTTTCGCTTCTCCTGCTACTCATGCACGCTGCTGGAGGTCCTGGCCACATGCGGGCAGTTTTCCCAGCTTACCATTCACTTGAACCCCCTGGCATCCCATCAACCCATCTCATCCCAGCATTCCGGCATCCTGGTGGAATATCCTTCGTCACTGAACGTTCAGCCAGCCCATCCTTCGATTTGTGCTTGCACATTTAAACGACATTTAATCAATGCTGCAAGCCGTTGCATAAACCGCACGCAAAAGCCTCCAAACTATTTGCCCACACCCAGCCATAAGTACACAGATACAAAGATACATACAGATACAGAAACAGTAACAGATACAGATACAGATACAGTAACAGATATATATATATATATAGATACAGATACGTAGAGAATCCAACTGTTGCACAAGAAACAGAAGCACAGGTTGGTAGCCACAGGAATGGACTAATTGATAACCTCAACGGATACGGATACGGATACGGATGAGGATGAGGATTAGGATATGTATGTGAATAGCATAAAGGAATGCTATTTACCTCGATTATAGCCCAAACTACAATAATCACAACGGTAATTTGTCTAATAGTTTCAACCAGAAATTCAACCATTGTCTGGAAAAACAAAGCAAATGCCAAAATGCCAAAAAATCAACAAATCCTTATGAAACCCAATGCATTGTTTTGTTAACCAAAAATTTTGGATTACAGCCAGAACTCAGAATGGGGCCAAAATAATCATTCAAAAAATTTATGAGAAATAATATAGGAATTTTTGATTCAAATCTATCTCTATTATTTGCACAAAATGCATTTGAAATTTTGTAACAATAAAAGTGAGGTTAGATTTTATTTACAGTTACTTTTTAACAACTTTAAATTTGTATTTAAATGGTATTTAATTAAATTTTAATAAATAATATGACGACAGTTACTTCCTTTGTAGCTTTTAAGCTTGACATAATTATTAATTATTCATAATTTTTAATATTTTTTTTTGTCAACATTTAATATTTGTTTGATAAATTTTCTTTCCTGTTGCTTGTCCACTTCCTATTATTGATTTACCGGCCAATTAATTAACTTGACCAACTAATACTCTCTGACCTGTTAACCAAATTCCACATAAATCAGTTCATGCTTTCGGTCCAGTTTTCTGACACTTTCTTTATTGTTTATTATTTGTTTTGTCCTTTAACCGCAGAGTATTATTCTTAATGCCTCCTGTTTTCTCTCTTTTCTTTTATTGTTTTTTTTTCGATTTAATTAAATGTCACTTTGATCGAAATAAGCTTGTGTGTGTGTACGATTTGATCCAATAATGACACACAGCACGATTTTCGACAAAAAAATATATATGTATATATAAATAAGAGTCACACTGCCCACTCTTCTCGTAATTCTACAGGGATTTCCCCTCAAAAAGGGGAGGAGGGGTAAAAAAAAAAAGAGGGCAGCCCGCAGTTGAGATTCATGAAAGCGTAAGCAATGCAATTAATTATAAAAGAAATGAAAACAAAAGCAGCGCACCAAATTGATTCATACACACACACACACACACTTACAGACACACACACACACTTACAGACACACACACACACTTACGCTTAAATCCACTCACACACGTGGCAGCAAGTGTAAAGAAGTGTTGCATGCTTTTAGGCAGCGCTCACTCATAAATTGGCACAGCAGCCTCCAGCCTCCAGCTACCGGCCCACCAGGCCCCCCCCCCAGGCCATACCCACGCCCCCGCCCCTAAGAAGCGCCGGCACCTGGTACATATAATACCTCCACCCCCCATAGGCTCTTGCCCCGGGCCGCTGCTCACTGGCTTTATGATCTCGGAAGAGAGAATCCTCTTTTTTTCATTCACACTACACAGAAAGAAATGGGGAATAGATTAAAAGGAAATACAAAATATTTAAAGATTAAAAGTATAAATAACAAAATAAAAATATTAAAAAAAAGTAACTTTTTAAGGTAAATAAAAATTTTAAGATAAAAAAAAAGTAAAAGCTTTTTATTTATTTATTAATATTTTTATTATTAGTGTAATTTTTTATTAATTATTATTATTATTAAATATTTCTTTTAGTGTAGGCCGAAAGGGGAAAAGTGAATGATAGAATGCCAAAGGCACTAGGAGGAGTGGATGGCGGGACGGCTTGTTTTTGGCGGTAGAGACAGGGGCAGGGGGCAGGGGGGCAGGCCAAAAGGTGCGTAAGCCGGTCTATGTATGTGTGTTGGTGTGGGTGTGTGTGTGTGGAAGCATGCTGCCATCATTATGAGAGGTTATGTTTATTTAATGAACTGTTTCCCCTTCAGGACTTACAAACTGTGGGCAAGGTCAGGCCAGCACCCACCACCCACTCACCCACTCACACACACCAACCACCACACCATCCTCTAGCTCCATAAATAACAATCAGCCACTCGAAAATATAATCAAACATACAAGTATTTCCCAGCAGGAGCATGTCCTTAAAGCCACAAAAAAAAGCAAAGATTATTGTCTTAAAAAGTTGTCATTTTTTTTTTTATTATTGATTGACGATTAAAAAAAAACATATATACATGCATATATAGGAAGCCATAAAAAAAACAGGATACAAGGACAACAGCTGGATGGGCCAATTGAATTTCTGGAACAATTTATGGCACTTTCCAATAAGCCTTTTCACTTTCTTCTCACTGGGCCAGTCATTAAATTTTTTTTGGTTAACTGCCTTAACCCTTTACTTTCTTTTCTTTTTTCTTGGCATGGTGTATTATTTGTTGTTTTGGTTTTCAGTACAACGATCATAAAACTTTTATTGCCACTCCTCCACCACCTCCATCCCCCCATTCAGGATTTCAATAGGGCACTTGACTAGCCAGAGGAACGCGAGGCATCAATTATTAAGCACCGTGAAATTATGGCAGGATAACAGAAGCAAGGATAACAAGTAGCTGTAAGCTTCAGCAGGACTAAAGCCCTGTTCTAAAGTATGATAAGTTGAGAGGTTATTTTGTCAGCTATTGGAAGCTTAAATACCCTACAAGTTGGATTTATTCAAAAAATGGTTTATAGTATCATATATATATATTCTTAAGAATATTTGATAATTTTTCAATAAAAATAAATAAAATATTTAGTTTGAAACTGGTTGAAACTAGAACTAGAAATATATTCCCAATGATCGGTCTTTTGCTCGAAAGATAAGGACCACACATGGTAGCTTATTTGTTTCAAAAATATTAATAATATATATATATATATATAAATATATATAAGAAATATACAAGAGAAGTACATTGTTTAATATGAAATTATCTAATACTCTCTACTTAAAATTAATATAACTTTTTGGAATTTGTTAACTTTTTCCTAAAAGTGTGCCAATGGCTCTAATAATTATAATAATAATCTTTATCTATATTATATACAGGATCATTTCATCAAGACTATGCCTTTAAAAAATTTCACACATTTTAAAAATACTTTCCAATGAATTTAAATATTTTTATTTTTTTCAAGAAACCTTAATATATGACGGCCTAAAATCCCAAGACTAGTTTTAACCTTCACCTTAGCATTGGATGGGAATTTTTGAATATTTTTAAATCATTTTTAAATACTTAAAGTCCAGACAGTACTCGCACCAGTATTGGTTCTGATAAGAGACTCTATGAAAGCTCGAGAGGGCTATAAAAACCCAGAGCCACGGCTATGGATCCATCAGTTCAATTATTCTTGTGACTTGAATATATAGGTTTATTTTTTAAACAAAAAATCCAAGATGAGGCTACCAACGGTGTTTCTATTAGTTGTTTCCTGTGCTCTGGGATTCGAACAGGAGGTAATAGTGCTGTGATGTGATTTAATTTCAAAAAGTTAACAAAACAACGTCCAATTTCCACAGTCCTGTTATCTATCTGAGGAAGAGGAGGATCAGTGCGCTTCGGTGTGTTATCCCATTGTTAAACCTTTATTAAGATACTTTGAGGTTTGCCAGACGAAGGACAAGACGAATGCAGAGCTGCAGGAGAAATATGTGAAACTTTTGGAAAACTTTTCGAAAATTCAAAATGAATTGAATAAAGTTAGTCTCGAAAATAAGGACTTGCAAGCAAAGAAAGATCTGGAATTTGAAAAGCAAAAAGCTCAAATCGAACAACAAAGTACTCGAATTATTCAACTGCAAGATGAAATATCTGATCTGAAAAAGTCATGCGAACTGAGTGAGCTGAAGAATCTGTTTAGTGAAGAATTGGAAAAGCTACAAAAAATAACAAAAGCCGGCCAAGAGGTTATAATTGAAAAAGAAAACAATGACAGCAAAGTAAACTCAGTGACGAAAATTAAAGCTACTAACACTACTACGAGTCCGTCGAACTCAGAAGCACCAATCAGAGGTAAGTTTGAAAAAGTCAATAATGCGGAATTTAATTAACAAATGTCTTAGTCTTACCAGATCGTTGCCCAGCAACACAAGATGATATATATTCCTACACAGAAATCCAAATCCCAGGATTCGAACCTTTTGAGGTGCGTTGTTACTCAGATGAGGAGATTGGAGCTGGGTGGATGGAGGTTTATTGGATAGATAGTGATTCAGAGAATTTCAATTATACATATGAAGAGTACATCAACGGATTTGGAAATGTGGAGGCTGAAATATTCATGGGACTTGAAAAATTACATATTTTAACTAATTGGAAGCCTCATGAGGTGAGAATCAATGAACTAGTGCAATGCAAAACCTTCGTTGTGGGCAATAAGAGCGAAGGCTACATGGTGAAGAAGATTGACGGGTGTACCGGAGGTACATCGTATTTCAACCTAATCCAGGGAACCAAGTTCTCAACATACGATCGAGATGAGGACGGAAATCCGAATCACAATTGGGCGAAGGAATTGGGCTATGGATGGTGGTTCAGTTTTGAGTAAGTGTTTGAATTTTTCATAAAATCTTTTTTACTTCCACTTCCCTACATAACTGATACATTGATTTCTATTATTTATTTTTATTTTTTATTAATTAGAAAACTTTTTAACCCCACGGGCTTGTTGACTTTGCGAATCCAAAGAAAAGATTAGAGGAAGCAACCCATCTTCGAAAAACACTTTGGAAAATAAAAAAAGGATGAGAAGACATCTGGAATTTGAAAATGTACACATTTTACAAATGTGAAAATTTTGTAATTATTGTTAAAAAAAAGGACCCTCTCGATCAAAAATTAAACATGATTGAATATTTGAACTGACAATTAATGTGTTTGCATTTTAAAGGCTTAATGGTGGGGATTTTTCAGAACCGAATTGACAGTTTAAATAATAATTCAAATTATTGAATAATAGCACATGGCTTAGCAAAATTCTCAGTTGACATTCGACTTCTCCCAAAAGTGTGCCAATGGCCCGAATTCGAAAGAGGGCACTCTGAGTTCACTGATTCCGATAAGAAGCTCTCTGTACACACAGAAGTTGTTCACAGCTTTTAGCTTTGTTTTTAATTTTAAAATCAATTTTTATTTTTATTTCTAAATGTGTCCAAACAGTCAAAATTTCATAGACAGTACTCTAAGGTTATTGATTCTGATAAGGGTTATTGATAGAGGGATGCATTGGAAATACTACGTATTATCCTCTAACTGAAGGCAAATAATTCTCAGCCGTTGATCGCGATGAGGATGGAAATCTGAATCATCATTTGCCAAAGGAGTTTGGCTACGGCTGATGGTTCAGGTCAGTATTTAACTCTCGATTTTATATTCTACATACTAATATTACTTTTTTGTTAATTTTAGTTCACCTATTGCTCCGAAATTTAGTTTAAACATGAGTTTTGTGGGCTAAACCAAAAATAATTTAAATGGAATTTTGAAATAAAACAGAATCTTTAAGACATTAGAGATTATGTTTTTTTGTTTTATCTCTTGAAGGGTAATTTCTTTTCTACAGCTCCTGGGCCTTTTCATAATTTTTTTTTTGGCTAAAATCAGAGCCTTCCAAGCCGGTCTAAGCCGAATGAACATCATTATCATTCAACGGCAAGCCATTTTCTGTGGCAGTTTAATTAAATTTGCCGCACGCCTCGTTTCAGAGCCTCATTAATAATGCAAAGGACATGTTCCGAGTGTTCGGAACAAACACACACACAGACACCACCTCCTCCACACTTTGGCTGTTATCCTTTTGCCTCAGAATCCCTTTTTTTCATGGTTTCAATTGTCCACGAGAGTATGTTCCAGGGAATCATATCACTTGAAAGTTTCTCAGGGAATATTTCCGTATGTCCCAGAGAAACTTTTTCTGCCACTCATTTGGGGATATTAATCAAATAATGTGGGGCTATTTATTAAACCAAAAATATAAGGGGTATTACAAGGAAGAACTAGCTTTTTTTTTAGGAAATTTTACAAAAAAATGCATGTACCAAACAAAATAGAAATTTTCAGAAATTTTTGGCTATTTGGTAATTGAATTTTTGGAATTTTTTATAACCAAAAGCCCCCCAACTACCTCCTTTCCTTCCACTTAATGGTCTCTGGTTCGGAGTAAATGTAATGACATTTATAATCGAAATCTTTCATTAAATTAAGGAACCGTGTTTGTGGCGACCGCAGGGCAAAGGACAACAAAAAAAATAGCCAACGAGTGTCTGGAAAGAGAGGGAAAAACTGGCAACAGATAGAGATGGCGATAGAGCTACTTACAAACACATTAACATACATAATTACAAATTAATTAGCGCACACGAATCGCACAGGGTCGACAAACAAACAAGAGCACAATGACAAAAAATATTCCATTGAAATTAATTATTCAGCATTTCGATTGTCAAACAATAATGCTATAATGTGTGGAGATCAAATAATTATAAAGGTTTTAAAGAGCTAATAGTTAGCTCATAATAAGGGAAAATTTTACATATAAATAAGCTTTTAAAGATTTCCAAATATATAAACGGAAATTAGTTGAAAAAAAGAAATTACTAGGAAATGGTTTTTGGTTTTTCGTTTTTTTTTTTTGGAAGTGCAGACATTAAGCCCCTCTACCACGTCGGTCCTCCCGATCCGGAATTGTATTCTCTGGCCATGTCGCCGGGTTTCCGACGATTTTCAGTGTAGAGGCGGCTGTCGTTTCCGGCGTAATTCGCAAACTTTGCTGCTGTTCCCTTCTCATTACGGCCATGAGTCGAAAGACACACGCACATGGCAAACAGATAATAACCGAAACGGTCGACGGCGGCAGATAAAAATATTATGTTGTTCATATGAAATATGACACTCTCATGTATACGCAATTATTTTGCGCTATTCAGTACAGAACGGAAAAGTACTGAACAGCAACAGCGACATGCTGTAAGGACACACGGCCAGGACACGCAGCCAGGACACGCTGCCAGGACACTCGGCCAGGAGGCGCAGAAAACTGTGACAGTTCCTGTGACAGACCATCTCCAGCCATCTACAGGGATAGGAGAACAAAAAAAAAAAAAAATACAATAAAAAAAAAAATAATTCCAGCACTGAATGATATCGAGAATCGGTATAGCATCAAGAATCGAGAACGGAAATTGACCTTCTTTAAAATCAGCTGTCACCTGCTGATAGAATTCTTGACACAAAAAATCAGTGCCACAACTGATGGGAAATTTTATTAAAAAAAGAAGGTAATGAAAGGAACATAAAGAAATAATGAAAAAATGAAAATAAAAAATAAATAGAAAAAAAGCTTAAAATATAAAAATATTAATATATATCGATACATATCGATTTTCTATTTATTTCAAACTAAACATGTTGGTTTAAAAGTTAAAAGATCAAATATGCAAGTTTATACTGCCATTAGGATGATTAAAATGTTACCCACTTACTTAATAATTTTTATGACATCGATAAGTATCGATATAAAGCTTTATCTATACTCTAAAACTTATAATAATTTAAACACAAATTTGTAGTTTATATTAATGTTATAATAATATATCTATACTCTTTCAAACTAAGTTCATACTACCATTAAGATCATTAAAATATTACCCACTTACTTAATAATTTTCATGACATCGATAAGTACCGATAATATCGATATAAAGGTTAATAAAAATTTTTAAACCATCCTATACCCTCGTTAAAAAGTTTAAGTGTATCACCATCATCTGTTGCATGTGGCATGAACCGCACTGTACCTTTTGTGTCGTCATCCGGTGACAGCATGCTTCCCATTTATATGTATATATACATGTATAAACTTTGTTTTTTTTTTGTATTTTTGTCACATTCTCATGCCCCAAAGTGTGAGTGAAAATTAATTTTTTCCCATTTTTGCGAATATTATTTTCGTTCCATTTCGTTTAATTTCAGCAAGAGGAGTCTCTCAGTTACCCAGTTTCCAGTTACTGCCATCGCTGGGTTAATGCCATGTTATTAAAATATGAGTGCAAAGGGCAAGAATCCGCTTAAACAGCATTTTTCCTCACCATCTCCCCTTGCCCATCTCCAGTTACCGGGCACTTTTCGTTAAGCTTTCGATCTGCTCTTGACATTCCCACAGACTGCCAAAAAAAAAAAAAAAAAACCAGAAAATAAAGAGTAGCGTAATATTTGTCATAAAACTTTATGGTGCACAAAATTAGTTTTACAGCATTGAAAACCGAAGCCCCCTATTCTAGGGTTTGCTTCTCGTTTCCCGATTACTTTCTTTTTTTTTTTCTCCTTTTCGGTTCTTCTGCATGGTTTGTGCATTTTTGTTGCCAATCGATTTTGTAGCAACTTTAACTGGATTTTTTCCCAAAAGGTTGAGAAGCCTGGGCTTGGGTGCCTCTTAACTTTAGATAGTGATGGCAGGAGAATATATAGTTATCGGTATTTTCTTTATAAATTTAAAGGATTATTCATTTTTTTAATGCATTTCCCATTTATATCGCTTTTATCGATATTTATCGATACTTTCTTGCTATACATCAATCAATTCAAAGAATATCTAAGCTTTCGATTACTGACTTTTTATTCGATATGTAATGTCTTGAATTGTTCATTCTCCATTGGTATTATTCATCGATATATATCGATTTTTCCTATCTGAAAATATATAAGACTTTGCTATATCTCAAATAATTCTACAAATATCGATGCTTCAATCGATTATATAGCAAACAAATCTAACAAAAATCGATAACTTATCGATTATTACATTTTTTTATATATTTTTCTCGATATTCAAACAATATCATCACTAGATTGGATTGGCAGACGCTTTGTTTGCACTCCTTCTGCGTTGAATATCCGTTGAGCCCTTGAGCCCTGCCTTTGCCCGTCATCCGTCCGGACTCCGGGACTCCGGGATTCAATCACTACCCCGTCACTCGGACCCCGTCTCTCTTGCACTGCACTGCAGCATACTGCCAATATATTTATTTAGAAATTTTATGCCATTTAAGCGCGTAATTGTTTTTGCATGGCAGGCGAATTGCAAAAATTTCATTTATACATACATATATATTCACACAGGATCCAGACAGGACCCAAAAGACAGGACTAGAAAGAGAAGGAAGAGGAAGGATAACAAAACCAAAACAGAAAACCAAAAGGAAATTGACAGTTTAAGCGAACCGAACACTGAATGTCCTGTTAAATAAGAACAGCAAACAGGAAGTGAAAGAGATAAATAGATGTGGTTAATTGAGCTTAAAGGATAAAGCATTGATGGGACTAACAGTCAAGGTTCAAACACCCAGGTTTTGAGGTTTTTTTTAAAAGAACTTTTATTTGGATTTCAATTAAAATTGGTTTTGAGCAAATTCTGCTATCAAATATACATATATATCCTTGTTATTTGATCAGGATTTTTTTTAATGGATACTTTGTCACCTCTTTCATGTTATTTTCATTTTTTTTTTTTTTTTTGGTGGACATTCAGAAGGATGTGTGCTGAATAATAAT